ATACTTTCTCTGCTTTGCTTGTCGTTAAAATTATAAAGCTGGCTTAGTATGTGTGCTTTTAGGACTAGCTTTTTCATTCAGTGTGATGCCACCAGACTCTCTCTGTCTCTCTCTGTCTCTGTCTCTGTCTCGTGAGCGCGCGCGTGCGTGCGTGTGTGTGTGTGTGTGTGTGTGTGTGTGTGTGTGTGTGTGTGTGTGTTGGTGCTGTGAATGACACAGTAGGTTCTCCAGCATGCTAGGCAAGCGTTCCACCTCTGAACTCTGTCCCCACCCTGTGAGTATTCTTATACATGTTTTGTTTTTAGATGTATTTCAGGAGTTTCTCTTGAGTCTGTATCTAGGAATAAATTTTCTAGGTCTTAAGATATCTAGGTATTCAATTTTGGCAAGAAAAATTACAAATTATTTTCCAAAACACTTGTATCCAATTATATTTCCCTAAAGTGATGAGTAAGATATTCTACTGATTCACACTTTCCTTTAACTGAGGATTGTTAAGCCTTGAAATTCTCTGTTAGTCTGTGATGGTATCTCTCTCTGTGGTTTGACATCACATTTTCTGATCATGCAGTAAGAGTAGCACCTTCCATTCATTATTACCTGCATGCGTTCCCTCCCTGAGAAAGGCATATTTCATTTTGCCCACTTAACTCCTGTATTTTCTGATGTTAACCCATCTTTCCATTCCTATTTAATACCATAACTTGATTTTAGCAAATCTTTTCATGCACTGCTACATTAGACTCATTAATATTTTATTTCAGACTTCTGTATTTATATTTGTAAGAAATACAGTCATGTCCATTTTCTGGCTCACACCTGTTAATACCAGGACTCAGGGGGCTTAGGCAAGAGAACTGATGAAGCCTAACCTGAGCTACATAATGAGTTCCAGGCCAGATGGAGAGAAGGAAGGGGGTACATGGTAATCCCAGTGTGCCAACATAAACATAAGCATTAGAACTAAAATGGATGAAACAGGACACTGACAGGTAAAGACAAAGAATGATTCCTGAAGAGCTGGAGTGTAGCCCAGTGGAAGAGCGTTTGTCTAGCATGCACAGGACCTTGGGTTCCTCCTCCAGCACTAAACAACAACAACAAAGAGTTCCTATAGACATCGAAACAATTTGGAAATTGATTTTTTAATGTAGAATGCTATAAATAAGAAGAGAACATGATTATATACACAGCAGACATTTAAAAGACACTAACAAGCAAAGGCAGGCTCACAACTGCCCGTAATTCCAGCTCCAGGGGAATCCTGCACCTTTGGCCTCTTTGGACACTGGCAATCATGTGCAGACATCCACACACAGACCCACACACATATATCTAATTAAAAATAATAAAATACATTTTTAACTCAGTTGCTCTGTGATCTGTCTGGTAATAATGGGATTTAACTGAGATCAATTTTAGTGGCCTGGTGCATCTCAAGCTTTCCCATCCTGTGTGTGCTTGAGAGGGCGTGTGAGATCCTTCTGCCGAAAGAAAATCCCAAGCCTTTGGCGTGGTCGGATTGCTGTTTTGCTTCCATTTTCCTTGTCGCTGTTGCTTTGTGTGCTTATTGTGTCTGACTTTTAATTAGCCCCATGGTACTTCATTTTAAATTTCTTTCTTGGATGTCATAGAGGGACACTCACATGGGGTATTTTTTCCATCTCTCTCTCTTTTTTGCCTTTTAATGTCATTTTATCTTAACCATGTCTCTTAAAAATACTTTATAGCGCTTAAATTTTTACCCAAAGGGACAATCTTTTGTTCTCACTGACAAATGGTGTTTGCATTTTTTTGCATGTTAGTGTATGTGTTCTCCTTAAATTCTTTGCTAATCCAAATATTTTTATTCTTTCTCTTTCTTTTTAAATGGTTTCCCTTTTTGATAAATCTCCCTTATCCATTGTCCTCTCCCCTCTCTGTGTATCCATTTGGAAATGAGCACCCGCCTGCTCCGATCCTTCTGGTAAATACTTCACCATCTCATCACACATATTCAACACAACAGAACATTACAAATACATATGATTATCTTCCTGCCAAAAGAATTCCTTTCAAGAAAGCCTTCAGAACCACTGTGCTCCTGACCCTTCTCTGTCCTGACTTTCACTCCTCCACAAACTAACATTTCAACATTTCCGTCCCCACAGATGGTGACTCGACTTACACATTGCGGCACCTGCTCACCACCCTTTGAGCATCCTGGGCTGTTTTCATTTTCCCTCTTCCAGAGGTAAACTCTCATAGAGTCCTCCCTGCGGGAAAAAGTGCCTCCAAGTGTGTCTGCCTGCAGATGTTTCTCTCAGCCTCATTCTCCAATGGTGCTTCTGATGGACAGCGTTTCTAAAGGGATAGCCCATTCCTCTCAGCATCCTAAGAATGTACTTTACCCTCCTCATTTCCATGGATGTTAAGGAAATCTGCTCACAGTGTGGTTGTTGTTCCTTTTCCAGGTACTTTTGAGATGTGACTGCTTTCCTTCCCTGGGATGTTCTGCAGCTTTACGCATCTGCATGGGGACATCTTTTTAGCTGGATTGGGATGCACTGTGCCTCCTGGATACTTAAGCTGGGTTATCTATTCTAGAATACTCGCCAGTGTCTCTTTTTTATCATTCTTTTTTGGTGTGTGTATGTGTGTGTTGTATATGCATATGTATGTTGTGTGTAGATGTGTTGTGTGTAGATGTGTGTGTGTGTCTTGTGATGCATGTGTGTATTGTGTTTACATGTGTGTACTGTGTGTACAATGTATGTGCTATGTGTGCATGTGAGTATGTGTGTGTGTGTGTGTGTGTATTCTGAGTACATGTGTGTGCTGTGTCTACATGTGTGTGTTGTGTGTGCATGTATGATTGTGGGTTGTATGTGCATGTGTGTGTGTATATGTGTGTGCAAGCACGTGCCTGTGTAGGGGTCAGAGATTGACGTCAGGTATCTTTTTCAATCATCTCCATTTTTTCTGGGGACATGGTCTGTCACTGAACCTGGAACTTGCTGATTTGGCTGGACTAGCTGGCCAGCATGTTCCCAGGATCCCCCTGTCTCTGCGCACAGCCCGGCACTGGGATGCAGGCACAGGAAACCACAGCTGGGCTTTTACATGGGGGCAGACATCCTAACCCATGTTCTCACCCTTGCGTGGCAAGCGCTGTACGGACAGTCCTCTCTCCAGCCCAGCCCCACATCCCTTCATCATTGTCTTCCTCACAGCTCACCATTTTTTTCTTTCTGTGCCTCTAGCGGGATATTTACTAATCTTCTCGTTGTAGAACCAACAAAACTCTGGACTAATCTTTCAAATGTTGAATTTTCTCTTTCCCTATTTTATTTTCTCACTAGTATGCTTCTTTTAACCCACACTTTTTTCATTTTTAAAAGTTCTATAATTTTAAAAACCATTTCTCCTTCTTCTTCCTCTTCTTCTTCTTCACAGGGTCTCGCTGTGCAGCCCTGCCTGGCTGGCCTCCAACTCAAAGAGATCCCCCAATGACCTAACTTCCTTCCACCAAGCCCCCACTTTGAGATTTCCCTCTGGACACCATGAGCTGGGGACCAGGCCCTGAGTGCACGAGCACTTGGGGGCATTTCAGATCCCGATGATGTCACAGGCCCAGCCTGTATGTTGTTTTTGATGGTCCCACCATCTTTAACTCTCAAGGAGATAAATCCAATGGTCTCGATTTCACTGCCTCTCACATTCGCTTCTCATGGCTTGGGTCATCTGTGTGTGTGCGGCCAATGCTACTTGTAAGCTGAGGGAACCCCATAGGCATGAAACCATAAGGGAAGGAGGGATAGAGTTGGGGGGGGAGGGGAAGAGGGCAGGAAGGAAGGGAAGAGGTGGAGGTGAGGGGAGGGGGGATTTCCTTTTGAGTTTCGACTTGAAGGTAAGGCATCCAGGTTTGCTAAAGCCCTCTTCTAAGGTTTTAATTCCGGCCAAGAACACCAGCTCAGCTCTCCTCCGCACTCTTCTGAGATGGAGTTCCCCATTGCTGTTGGTCTGAGATCAGGTTTCCCCCAACCTCGCTGCCATCAGTGTGGCCTTAGGAAGGCTTCACTCTCTGGCCACCTGAGTCTAGGTGACCATGCCACACAATTCCCCCTGCATCAAGCCTGCCCTTTGCTCCTGGTCTGCTTCCCTTCAAGACCTCGGCTTCTGGCTGCTTCATTCCCCATCCTCACCCTTAGGGACTCCATTCTTACTTGGTGAGTCTTGGGGAATGGCCCTGAAGCCTCAGCCTCCTCAGATCCCACCTGCTAGCAACCCAGAAGCCTCTAGACTGCTGGATTCTGCCACGGTGCTTTGTCTAGCCCCAGCACGGCGTATTACAACCCATCTGTTCTTTTCACTCACTTTGAACCCATTATTCCTGATTATGAAGGTCTTTCTCTGCAGAGGATTTGTGGATCACGCTGGTGCTTTTTTGTGCATTTATCCCAACTAATGATTAGATGAAAAGACAAAAATCCACCCCCTGCACTCTGCTAGGGTTCAAGCGAGGCCTCTCATGCCTCTCATCTCATTCAGGAGACAGCTGTTGAACACCTACTCTGCTTGGTGCCAGGAGTTCCTGACATCAAATTACTTGGTAACATTTTTTTCTCGGCCCCAGGAGGGACCACACATGCTAATGAGCCACCTGACTGGGGTGAGAGCAGGTCAGAGCTCTGGTTCTCAGTGCTATGCCCATGGCCAGATGGCTCCCACAGCTCTTCCTCCACTGATGTGAGATTTATCCCCGCAAATGAGCCCTGGCACATGTGGGGGATCCCTTCCCTGGATCTGACAGTTTGGATGGGAAGTTTCTCCCGGTAGAAGTGACCTCCATCCTTGCCAGCTGCCTCAGTTTACAGGGTGGAGTTTAGCATCCTCACCATAGTCTCCATATTAGAAGCAGAACCTATCCTGGCAGTCATGGCCATTCCGGGAGCCAGCAACAGCCAGGGCCCCCGGGCAGCTCAGCGAGCTGGTGGGACGTGCAGCCTTTGTTTCCCCAGGAATAAAGTGGAAGCCTGATGAAAACGGAGTCATCGCCTTCGACTGCAGAAACCGTGGCTGGTAAGTGCTCCCAGAGGAGGACTACTAGGCCCCAGCATTTGCCTTTGGGCTTTGCCTGGCGTTTGTGCCCCCTCCTCTACCCAGAGGCTTAGGAAGGGACTTCAGTGGCTTAATCCAACCCAGGAATAGGAAGACTTGCTGGCCACACTCCTCATTCCCTCCCCACTGTCTCCAGCTCAGACCACCCTCCAGAAGCCATGCTCTCTCCAGATCAGGCTGTCTCCAGCTCTGGCTCTTGCCAAACTCTTTTCCTGGTAGTTCAGCAGTATATCTGAGCCCCCTCCTTTCCCACTGCCAGGCCCTCAGGGACCCTGGCTGCCCTCTGTCAAAAAGGAGGAGGCTTCCAATCTCATCACCCCAGTAACCTCAGTGTCCAGGGGTTACAGCTACACAAAGAAACCTAGGTCTAAACTTGGGGGAACCCATGGGGCAGACCAAATAAATGTAACTGGAGGTTCCCAGCCAGGTGGCAGTACCAGCCTTGGCCCCCCTCCCATTTACTCTTCTTTCTGCTAAAGGTACATACAAGCGGCCACCTCTCCCAAAGACATTGTGATTCTGGTGGACATGAGTGGCAGCATGAAGGGGCTGAGGATGGCTATCGCCAAGCACACCATCACTACCATCTTGGACACCCTGGGAGAAAATGACTTCGTGAATATCATTGCGGTAATGGTGGCTTCCTGTTCTGCAGCTGTTCTTGCCTGCTCTGGGGAAATATTCTTTTCCTGAAACAAAAGGACTGTGTTTCCAGCCACGGGTGCTTCACGCCACAAAGGGACACCTTCCTCCACGTTGGAGACTCCTGAACTAGCACCCATGGTCTGCCTGGGGGTGGCTTCACAAAGTCCCTCAAACTGTCTGAAATAGTATGTGAACACGCACAGCCCTCATTGAGGCCACATTCTCCATCAGTTTCTCAATGTCTGTCTGACACAGGCCCCAGCAGCGCCACCATCCCCTCTGTGGGTTCCTTGGCAGCATCACTTCTGGCTGCCTCCCCATCCACAGGAGGTCAGATGGGCTCTTGGCCCCTTGATCTGCTATCATTCCAGTCCCCTCGCTTTCCTTATCCCGCAAGTTCAGACACATGGGCAGAAAGGAGGGACATGGGAGAAGGGGGGGACCACTTCAGCTCCATGGAAGCAGAGTTGACAGCCACCCTGGGGTGTCATTTTGAAGGCCATTTGATCCAAAGGTCCTTATCAGTCTGTGTAGTTGCTGCCATTTCTAGCTGTTAGTGGAGTTTGTGTAGCATGTAGATGTGTCTTACTTCAGAATGATCGTGCTGGGGGATCCGGGCCCTGAGTTGCCCAGCTTGTCCAAGGCTCAGCTTATCCATGGCAGTACTCCTAACCATCACACACACACACACACACACACACACACACACACACACACACACACACCCAGGTTGACTCCCACCTTCATCCCATGGCCTGTGCCAACAGGACGGCCACAGAGACAGGTTCCATACTCTACCAGGGAGAGGGGGTGTGCTATCCCTCAAAGCCTGCAGCTCTTCCGTCCCACACGCCGCTCTACTTCCTCAGAGAAACTTCTAGAACCTGTCCACTGCATCCCCCAGTGTACCCCAGAGCTCTTTTGATGTAGATATTGTGTCCTCTCTCTTCCCTCTTACTTAAGCAGAAGGTAGATTAGGGGCCCTGAAAAATTGTATTCTAACTACCAGGGAGATTGGGGGGGGCAGTAATAGTTCATGTTCCCCCCAGTCCTACCCCTATGGATAGCTGAATGACTATCTACATGTATGCAAAGAGCAAGAGTCCATTTGTAGCTGGCTTGGTGGCCCACACTTATTATCTCAGCATTCTAGACATTGAGCCAAAGAGATTTAAATTCCAGGCCAGCCTGGGCTCCATAATGAAACCCGCTGTCAAATAAACAACAAGAAGTAGTTAGGAATCCCCTACCCAGGCTAGGGAAGCTCTGGGCCTGGTGGAAGGTAGCTTGGCTGGTCTGAGTACACAGGGGAACTCCCTCATGGTGGCAGGTTCTCAGCACACCCTAGAAGGTACCCCTTACAGCAGAACCAGGACTTGGGGAGCAGTTTTAGAGTCAAGATCCTCTGATTGCTCTGTTCAGATACCCCCAAACAGTAATGCCCAGATGAGACATCTGTTTTCTCTCTATCTTTTTTACTGTGTCTTCCAGTACAATGACTATGTCCACTACATTGAGCCCTGCTTCAAAGGCATCCTCGTCCAGGCAGACCGAGACAACCGAGAGGTAAGTGCCCACCAGGGCCGAAGCTCGCATCAGGGTAAGGGGTGGTGTCTATGAAGATTCTGCGCTCTGCCCACTACATGGCCCCTGGGAAGAGCGAAGCAAGTCAGCGGTTAGCCTGGATTGTCCACCTTCTGGCTAGCCTCATCCTTGGCCCCACCTTCTAGGAGGAGACATAGATTGGTACCAAGCCATTCACACTTAGTTCATCTTTGGGCATTTGAGAAATACAGACTCAAGTGGATGTGACTGGCTGCACTGTGGAGCTCAGGCCCTGCATTCAAGCACTGACGATACTTCTTAGCACCCTCCCCAGTTAGGATTCCTGGGTCCACTTGATCCTCCAAGCCTCATCTCATGTTTACCCCAACAGCATTTCAAGCAGTTGGTGGATGAACTGATGGTCAAAGGCGTGGGTGTTGTGAGTCAAGCCCTAATTGAGGCTTTCCAGATCCTGAATCAGGTACCACTGCTGGGGAGGCCTGGGAAGGTGGAGATAGAGGGAGGCCATATTGCAACTACAGGTTGTGGCCTGTAGTGACAGCCACACTCCTGCTCCCTCAGTTCCAAGAGTCCAGACAAGGAAGTCTCTGTAACCAGGCCATCATGCTTATCACCGATGGGGCAGTGGAAGACTATGAGCCCGTGTTTGAGAAATATAACTGGCCAGATCGCAAGGTAACTCCCACTGCAAGTCAAGGAGGAAGGGGGCCTCTCCCGACGCCAGAGGAGAGTTCTCCTAAACCATGTAGTCTTCCATGCAGCACAACCCATGTTCAGAGTTCTTTCCCATTAGAGATCAGGTATGTTCTAATTGAGTGTCCGAAAGCTACAGCAACCTAGGCCCAGAGAAGGGATGCCAGAGGCTGCAGGGCAAAGGACCAGCATGGTCCCGAGACGTAAGACCTGCTCCATGCTCACCAGGACCCTGGCAGTTCATGTTCTCACCAGGGCCTCTGGGTTTTCTCTGACCCAAGAGGGTGCAACTGGAGAACCCAGAACAGAGACATGCTCGACCCTAGATCTAAGCCCTTCATAAATGGCGCCGCTGCTGCCTGCCGCTGCTGAGGCCATCTCTTGTGGGCAGGTCCGAGTTTTCACTTACCTTATCGGAAGAGAAGTGACCTTTGCTGACCGCATGAAGTGGATCGCCTGCAACAACAAAGGTAAGGGAGTGGAGGAGGGCACCCTGCAGTCCACAGTGAGCCAGTGGGAGAGCAGTGCATCGGGGCAGGCTCTGGCCAGAGGCCTCTTCCGGGAGCAGCACAGTGTTCAAAGGTCTGCCCCTCATGCCTGCTTGTTGGAGAATGCAAGAACAGACTTCTCTGAAGCTGGAGGAGACTGCCTGTCACTCATGCGGGACTCTAGGCTTGTAGTTATCTGAAACGTAATCCAGAGGCCACTTATCCAGGGTGTACACAAAAGAACTGTCTCCTCAAATAAAGTTTGTACCAATGCACAACACAGAAGACAGAGCAGGGCAAGAAGGGATCCACATCTCCAATGTCAGCCCTCCTACGCCCTTCTTCATTCCCACTGTGGCAAACTCATTCTGTTCAAAGACAAAAGCAGAGGGTCGTTGTAGCTGGAGTTTTCCTGCCTGGCCCACAGTCAGGACAAATCTCTATCACCCGCCAGTCCCACAGCCACTCAGACCCAACCAAGTAAACACAGAGACTTATATTGGTTACAAACTGTATGGCTGTGGCAGGCTTCTTGCTAACTGTTCTTACAGCTTAAATTAATCCATTTCCATTAATCTATACCTTGCCACATGGCTCGTGGCTTACCGGCATCTTCACATGCTGTTTGTCATCGTGGCAGCTGGCAGTGTCTCTCTGACTCAGCCTTCCACTTCCCAGCTTTATTCTCCTCCTTGTCCCGCCTACACTTCCTGCCTAGCCAATGGCCAATCAGTGTTTCATTTATTGACTAATCAGCAACACATTTGCCATACAGAACATCCCACAGCAGGTCGTCTTTTCTTTTTCTTGTGTGTGTGCACACACTGGGGAAATGCATGCAGGTGTGTACACGTGTGTGGAGGCTAGAGGACCTCAGGAGGAGTTGTTCCTCAGGAGGGGCCATCCATCTTGGTTTTTTGAAACAGGGTTTCTCTTACCAGCTGAGCTAGACAGGCTGGCTGGAGAGCCTCAGGGATCCACCGTCTCCATCTCCCCAGCGCTGGCATTACAAGGGCAGGCCACCACATGCAGCTTTTTCACATGGGTTCTGGGGATGAGGCTTGGGTCTTCATGCTTCCCAAGTGTTTTACTGGCTGAGCTGTTTCCAGCCCCATTTTCTTTTTCTTTTTCCCCCTATTTATTTATTGATTGATTTTTCTGAGGGAGGTTACATTTTTTAATTTTACATTTATTTATTTAGTGTGCAGTTGTGTATATGTGTGTGTGTGTGTGTGTGTGTGTGTGTGTGTGTGTGTATGCATATGTGCATGCCCACCTCTGCACATACCCAAGCACATGCATGTGATGGGGGTCAGAGGACAGCCTGTGGAAGTCAGTTCTCTCCTTTGATCATGAAGTTTCCAGGGATTAAACCTCTTAGGTTGCCAGACTTCTTAGCAAATGCCCCTACCTATTGAGCCATCTTATCAACCCTACTTATTAGTTTTACAAGACAGGCTGTCACTAGATATCCTAACCTGACCTCAAGTCATAGTGATCTTCCTGCCTCAGCCTCCAAGTGCTGGGACTACATGTACAGGGTACCACACCCAGCAGGACAGCATTTTCTCTGGAATAATGTTTTGTGTACCAACCATTCTCTGGTATCTGGGGTCAGAACCCAAGACCTGGGCTTGCAATGTAATTCTGTTTATTTAATGGAAATTCACTGAGCATGTGCTTTGTACCTGTTGCTATTTGAAGACTGTGGATCAAGGGTGATGGGACAAATGGGCTCAGTCTTGATCTTGGTGTAGCTAGCACATGGACTTCGGTTGCAATGTGACGGGGATGTATCATGATGGCACCGAGGCATGGGCCGGGCAAGGTACAGGGAACAATGGGAAAGATACTTTCCCAACTTGGGGATTTGGGGGAAGGGTCTTGCATGTAGAGGAAACAGTGTCCTCTAGGAGTCTGAGGCAAGAGGCATGGAAGGAAGTGAAGTTGTCCCATTTTGCTGGCATATGGAATGAATGGCTTGGGAAGGTGGTGGGTAATGAAACCAGAAGTTACTAAACCATTCACAGCCTGTTCCAGTAGCACTGTGCCTACCCTGAAGAGAATAAAGCATCCTGCTCCGTAGCCTGAGGGAGAACGGTGATGAGGGAAACCAAGAGCTGTGGACACAGGAGGACAAGAGTCACCATGTTGTTGGGATCCCTGAACACATTCTCAGAAAGCATAGCAAGTAGGGACTTGGTGGGCACCACTGCTGCAACTGAGGCCCCTGCTGTGATTTGGGGGAGTGTTAGCAGTGAGAAGGTGCCTCCAAGATCTTCCAAGCTGGAGCTGGGTAGGCCTTTGTCTTGTACTAGGGAGCAAAGCATGGCCTCCAGGAAGTAGAGAGACCCAGCTCGCAGCACCCAGCAGCTGGGAGTGTGCATGGGCACTATGCAAGGACCCAGTGGAGCCTCTCCTTTGCAACCCGTGATCACACAGCCTTGCCCTCTCTAGGCTACTACACACAGATCTCCACACTGGCTGATGCCCAGGAGAATGTGATGGAGTATCTACATGTGCTCAGCCGCCCCATGGTCATCAACCACGACCATGACATCATCTGGACAGAGGCATATATGGACAGCAGGGTGAGCATGATAATGGCTCCAGGTGGGCAGGGAGGCCCAGAGTTAAGGGGAAGAGCAAGAGGTCAGGAGAGGTCAATAGCCTGTCTCCACAGGAGGAGTCATGAAGGGTGGTGAAAGCCGTCCATGCCCTCCTTCCCCTAGCAACCCTCATCTCACCACCAGCTTTGTGCTCAACTGCCCCCCGAGGCCTGAACCCTGCCCAACAGACACCCCACCCTGTGCTCCTTCCCACTCTGCATTGCCCCCGTACTCCTACCTGCCGTGGGAAGAAAGCGTTCACACCAATGATTCACGACACTACAGCTTCATCCGGGCGCTCCCTGAATTGCACAGTCTGGAAGAAGCAATGTCTTACACAGAGGAATACGTATCAAAGATGGGAGGTCACAGAAGATGTGTGACTTAAGGAGACCTTCCTGCCTGCCTCTTCCCCAAATCACATCCTGGATGGAGTCGCCTGCCTTAGTGACAATACACAGACTAGGATTAGGGTCTGACAACAGTGGCTTAGATGGGACAAAAGGAGAAGGTTAGACATTTGGTGGTGGGCATCTCAGAGCTGATGAGGCTTCTGGACCCAGGGACCCAGGCTCCTGCCTGCAGCCACTCCTACTCCCCAGGCTAAGCCCCCTCCTCCTGGGTCTAGGGGCTGGGGTTGCAAGGTCACACTTAGCCATTTAAAGAGGACTGCTCAGGGGTCCTCCTGACTTATGCATTGGCTTACCTCTTTTGACCGGAACTCAATCCTGTAATGATTTCCAACAGGCAGAGTTGGCTGAGAAGATACACTTTCAGCTTTTCTCCTGAGGACAGGGGTATATTTACTCTAGTAAGTGTGATATAAACGTACTGTGTCTGAGGACAGGGCACACTTACTCTAGTAAGTGTGACATAAACATACTGTGTCTGAAGACAGAGGCACACTTACTCTAGTAAGTGTGATATAAACATACTGTGTCTGAGGACAGGGCACACTTACTCTAGTAAGTGTGATATGAACACGCTGTGTCTGAAGACAGAGGCACACTTACTTTCGTGGGTATCAGTAGACATAAACTATCTTGCCAAGCTGGGGACAAAAGCCTCAGGAGTCCCTTCTAAAGTCCCTTCATCGTCAGAGGAGCACCTGGCCAGCTGGAGTGGGCTCTACCCTGAGGCATTGTCCAGGAGATGCCATCTGTCCCACACTGGTGGCCACTCCTTGAACTGAGGCCACAGGGAGAAGCCTTGTCCACCTAGGTAGGTGCCTCTCTATTGTCCAGGCGGTCAGTGGTCACAGACCATCTGCCCCAGGATGGAGAAGTGGGGGAGGGGCAAAAGGAAGGCAAGGAGAGAGAGGCTAAGACCTCCTTTACAATGTTTTGACTTCCCACGTTGCTGCTTACACTCATCCCTTCTGGCTTATTCCTCTCACATCCGTCCATGCCCTCCACCCCCAGCCCAGCATGTGCTCCCCATGCCTCTCACACATGTGAGTATCAAGATCGCGCTGAGGACCTGGAAGGAAGAAGGCTGAGAACTTGAAACGCAGTGAAAGGAAAGGAGCCATGGGTAGTGGTGGCCACACCTAGGCAGCAGCTGGCCGTGAGTCTCACAGAGAGTTGGAAAAAGAGGGAAGAGTGGCAGAGACAAAGTCTTGCTTCGATACGTCACTGTGCAAAGCATTTTTGCACACCTGGGCTCAGTCCCCCACTGATCTCTGCCCTTTCTTCCCTGGCAGCTCTTCACCTCAGAGGCACAGAGCCTGATGCTCCTCACCACAGTGGCCATGCCAGTCTTCAGCAAAAAGAACGAGACGGTGAGTGTCTGCTCCCCATGCCTCAGCACGTAGCTTAGATTCCGGGCCTCTGAGTTTCACAGTCAGCTGCAAGGTGGGTTGCAGATGACCAAGTCCAGGACTGGGCCAGCCATACAAGAACCTCCTGTCAACTGTGGGGCTGAGAGTCCATGCTTTCCCAAAGCTCTCAAGCCTCGGTGGGAGAGTAGGGGCGCGCTGCCCCCCTGCTCTGTTCTTAAGGCAGAAGGCTATGGAGTTTTCTGCTAGCCTTCCAAATTAACCACACATAACTAGCCAAAGCAGGTAGACTCTGGCTTGTACATGAAGGCCTCCTGTGAGGGGATTTCCAGAGCTTTCCATAGTCTGTTTGGTCAGAAACTGCTTCCTTACAGGTCACTTGTGCTATAGAGGCTACATAAGTTATGATCCTTATATTTCATCCTCTGGTGTGAATATTAATATTTCACTTAGTTTTGTATTTCATTTAAATGTTACTACTTAAATATTAATACAGGACATTAATCTTCCTAACAGCTAAGCTTGCCCCTGGGGCCTCCTCTGACAGTCTACATTTTTATTTGTGGGGTTCAGCCTACAATCTAACTGCAAAGAAGATCAGTAAATGTTTCCTTTTCCAGGCTCTGGGGAGGCCTGGAGTCTAGCCTGAGAAGCCCAGTTTCCCTGACTCTTACATTTTTCCTTCTAGCGATCCCATGGCATTCTCCTGGGTGTAGTGGGCTCCGACGTGACCCTAAGAGAGCTCATGAAGCTGGCACCCCGATACAAGGTGTGTAGAACGAATCTTAACAGGTCTTATTAATAAAATCAAACCTGGAGCCAGGTATTAGGGTGAACGCTGGAAGATCAGAGAAACAGAACAAGCCACAGCTTCTTCACCTCACCAGTTCCTCAGCTGATCCTGTTTCCTCAGACTGGAAGCCTCTGAGTTCTCATCCAAATGGATCTCAGTTGAACTGCTGCTAAAAGCCTAAAAGCTTAACCAGCTCTAGTTCCTGGTTTTCACACCTTATATACCTTTCTGCCATCACTCCCTGGGATTAAAGGCTTACTTCCTGGGATTAAAGGCATGAGTCACTATGCCTGGCTGTTTCCAGTGTGGCTTTGAACTCACAGAGATTCAGGCTGATCTCTGCCTCCCAAGTGATAGGATTAAAGGCATGTGTGCCATCATTTTCTGGCCTCTATGTCTATCTAGTGGCTGTTCTGTTCTCTGACCCCAAATAAGTTTACTAGGGTGCATAATATTTTGGGGGACACAATATCACCACAAAAGTGAGCCTGAGTGGGATCCCTGGGGGGTGGATGGGGGGATCTGAGCCTCAGCTTTCCATTGTTGTGACACAATATCTGAGAAAATCAGCTTAAAGAGGGGAGAAGAGATTTACCTGAGTTCACCATTTCTGTGGCTTCAGTCCACGGCTGCTTGACCAGAGACCAGCAGGGGGAAGCGTGACACTGACTTGTATGATTTGTGTTTAAAACTGCTAGGGGCTGCTGTCTTCAATCATTCCCTCTCCTACCTAGCCATCCAACACATCTAATGCCCTCAATCCTTGACTTTGGCAGCTTGGGGTACATGGATATGCCTTTTTGAACACTAACAACGGCTACATCCTCTCTCATCCTGACCTCCGACCTTTGGTAGGTACAGATCTTTGCCTTGAGATTCTAACAATATGAGATTTAGGGACAGTTCACAAAAACAATTAAAATTCATTGGCTAGTACAAGAGAAAAACGGACATCATTATATCTGTTTTCAAACTGTTTATTATCTAGCAGGATGTACATGGCAAAAATGCATGAAACCACACCAGAGAGCAGGTAATGCAGGCTGGGGTTGTGAGAATGGAGTTCTACAGGACAGTCCACTTCCCATTACTGTAATAAACATCTGAGACCACCAGTTTATAAAGAAAGAACTATATTATAAAGTCCACGGCTGGTGGAGCCTATTTTATGCTGTGGTGGGGTGCATGCAGCATAACATGATGGGAGCATGTGACAGAGAGAACCTGTTGGCCCCAGGCAGTAAAATGAGAAAGAGACTCCAGTCCCATAACCCTCTTTAAGGACATTAAACCTCTCACTGGGCTTCATCTCCTAACACTCCACCATTTTCCAACTGTGCCATGTGAACCCAGTCTTCTACATAGAGGCCTTGCTGTTTAAAAGCCAAACCATGAGGGAGAGATGGTTCAGCAGTTCAGAGCACCTGAGTTCAGTTCCCAGAATCCTTTTCAGTCAGCTCATAACCCCCTTTAACTCCAGTCCCAGGGGATCCAATACCTCTGGCTGTCATGGGCACCTGCGTTCACATGTACCATACCTACCCACACATAAATACACACATGTACACTTAATTAGAAATACAATAAATGTTTTGGAAAAGCCTAATCACTGCAGACATTTATCACAGGCCCTCCCTGTCCCAGTAACTCCATCCCTCCTACAACCTGACAGATGGACCGGCAGAACCCAGAGGGCCATGCAAGAAATATGAACAATCAGTTCACAACAAAAATAGCAAGGAGGCCCTCTCACAAGGGCAGTGAACGGCCCCCTGAGCTTGCCTCTGATGCTGCCCAGGGCCCCTGTCCCTTCTGACTCTGTCCAGGAGCTGTGGGTATTCTCATATGAGTTCCCCTGAGCACCAGGTATCTGAAATCCCTGCCTCCAGGGCACTGGCTCTGTCCACAGTGGCAATGGCCACACTGCTGGTGTGATGGCTGGAGGGGTCAGGGGAGCTAAAGTCCTGGGGGCATCTTGAACCCACTCCTCTTCAGTCTTCTCAGGAACCCCAAGAGAGTCTTGGGTAGCAGAGGAATTTACAAGGGGGCTTCTCTGCCCCAGGAGTCATTTGGGGAGACCAGCTGAACCAAGGCGCATGCCAATTAGCTCAAACGAATATGGAATATCCCCCTGAGACATTTGACCAAGCCACTTAAGGCAAATGGTAGAACTCAGAACAGAGACACACTGTTGAATCCCCTCTGTCTTCCCAGTTCAGATTTGATAGGGCATGTATCAGAACCCATAAAGGACAGTCTTATATTAACAGGTTCTTAAGAGACCAATGAGTCACAATCAGAGAACATGGAGTTTGAACCCAGAGTTGACATATAGAATGAAGGGGCATGGACCAGAAAACCACTTGTCAGCATCCATCTAGGCAACTCACATGAATAATGCTCTCACCTGCCAAATCATGGTGTGGACCTACTATGTGCCTGATATTACTGTGCTGGTGGGAGTGCTGTAAACATAAAGACATAACTAATTAAGAAAAGAAAATGTATGGAGGCACCTGGCAGGCAATTGCTTACCAAAGGACACAGTAAGGCTAGTGCCATGCACTGTGTAAGGAAAGCAATATCAGGAAAGCAAAAGACAGAAAGCAAACTTCAGAAATCAAAGTAATAGAGGATATTCTAGCAATAGAATTTTAAGAAAAGGTCAAGAGGCATGCTGGGGCCTTTCTACATCAATGGCCCTAACCAAATGAAATTATACATTTATTCTGAGAGGCTAAGGATTGACTACAATCTGTCAGGTGTTGTCAGGACTTAGGAAATGGCACTGGAATGTTGCCAGAGGAACAGCTCAGGCATAAGAGGGAAGGGCATCCCTGTCTGATGAGTGTGGACATCAGGAAGGCCGTGGGTAAGGAGGCAAGGCCAATAGGGACGGTGTTGCAACAGTCTTACTACAATCAGGGCAGAAAAAACTGGAACGTGAGTAAATGAAACAACTCCAGAAGCAAGATATGCAATGACAGTGACTTCAGCCACCCAGACGTCTACTGGGGAGCCGTTTACAGGAGTAGAGGGTGCTGTTTTTAATGTACCCTGATGATAAACTCTCTCCTTTACTGATGGCTTTGCTAAACTAAACCAAGGAAGTACCACAGGCATAATTAGAGATGAATGATTATATCTGTCGGGGAGGGGGGGGTAAGAAAGCAAGAAAATAAGAGAGTGTGAGAGGGAGAAAGAACAAGAGAATAATACCACTCGGAGAATTGGCTCATGGATCTACGTCAAATTTTGGAGCCAGGTGATTATTAAGCACTGTTGATCTGCCCTTGGATCTGACCCAATTAAAAAAAAATCTATCAAGATGAAATGCTTCTGCAGATGCCTTAAAATCTGGCAGAGAACATGATTGCTCAGAAAGTGTTCTAAAATGATCATCTGAGATTAACAAGATGACATGGATGAGAAATGGGTGGGCGCCCACGTGTGGGAGTATACCACACGAGAACACCGAGGGGATTTGCCTGGCTAATGGCGCCATCTGGGCTGCCAAGCTGGCCTGGCTGTCCAAGCAGTCAACAGAAACAGTCAGAGCTGTACTGTACTTTAGTCCACAAAACACACCTCTCACCTCCTGGCCAGGCTCCATGTGCAATATTGATTTCTTCCCTGGCAGCTCCATTTTGGGGGTGACATTGACAAAACTCAGCATCTTCAGAGAGCTATTTTCAGACTGGAAATGTTTAGCTGGAGACAGTCAAGTCTGAGGAGTGACAAGGCTGAGCATCTTCGTCAGGAGGAACACATTCGGGGTGGTTCCAGAAGAAAAACTGACAACAATAAGTAAAAGTTAGGAGGGAGAACTTTCTAGTAACAAGAGCTATGACAAGCTGTCTCACAAACTCGGAAGATCCCTGGCATGAGAAGTATACAGCCCTCAGGAGGCTGGGAGCCCATCTGTGGCACACATTGGCCAGGGCAACTTTGCACCGAGTAAAAGTTTGGCCTGGGTCATCCTGGGCGATCATGGGATGCTTTAATTTTATGAAGGTATTTGAAAGATTTTAGAGTAGAGGGAACAGGGTGGGTGCTAATCCCACTTTTTCCATCCCATCTGGCCCACTTCAGTATAGAGAAGGCAAGAAGCTGAGACCCAAACCCAACTACAACAGTGTGGACCTCTCTGAAGTGGAGTGGGAGGACCAAGCTGAAACCGTGAGTGGGGAAACGAGGGGGTGAGATGTTACTCACCCAGTTAGCCCCGCAGCCAGCAGGCAAGCCTTGGGTGTGCAGGGGATGCTGGACAGCTCTGCAGCAGAGCCATCGGGCTCTGCGCCTGTGACTTTTTCAGCAACTGTGGACCTTTGAGTCACGGGGGTGACTGGGGCAGACTGAAATTGTGCTTGCAAGCCCCAGCATGGTTTCAGTGTTGTGCTTAGTTTCCAGTCTCCATATCACATTCTAGAGGAAATCATGTCTCAGCAACACAACACTGTACCCCAGAGCATCCATCTCCTCAGAACGCTGCCTCAGTGAAAGCCCAGAACTGTGAGCCAGTGGTACCCAAGTCCATCTTCCCTTCTAGAATTCTGCTCAGGGGAAAACGGAAGAGCCAATGTCCTAGGGATCCTAAGACACAGTCAAAGCCCCAAATCTACCAGGTGAACAGGCACTAACTCCCTTTTCTTTCCTTTTAAAGCTGAGAAATGCCATGATCAACGGGGAAACAGGTTCTCACTCCATGGATGTGAAGGTGCCACTGGATAAAGGGGTAAGGAGCTAGAGACAGTGCCCACAAGGTCCCAGCAGGCGATATTGAGCCTGGGTTGGGATTCTACTATGGCCTTGGGAACCAGAACATGAGGAGAGAGGGAAGTTGTGGGGAGAGGCATGTAGGAACTGCACTGTTGATCTCTTTGATGCTCAGTTCTTTTTTCTGTGTTTGCTTGTTTTTGTTTTCGCTTTTTGGTTATTCAAGACAGGGCTTCTCTCTGTAGCTCTGGCTATCCTGGAACTCACTCTGTAGACCAGGCTGGCCTCGAACTCACAGAGTCCCTTCTTTAGAGACCACAGCACATGCAGATTGCCCAAGTCACTCCCAGCCCATCTTTCCTCCCTCTGCTGCCTGCTATTTGGCCCTTTGGTTGTTTTTGATAGAGAGGGAGAAAGTGACAGTTCATTTTGCACACTGCCAGCAGCTCTGTTAAAACATGTCACATGGAAAAAGGTTGGAAATAGTCACTACTTCGTATAGCTGATTTTTATCCAGACACAGAGAATGAAAACAAATACCCTTACTACAGAGGATCAAAACCAGAAACAAGCCGGGCGGTGGTGGCGCACGCCTTTAATCCCAGCACTCGGGAGGCAGAGGCAGGCGGATCTCTGTGAGTTCGAGGCCAGCCTGGGCTACCAAGTGAGTTCCAGGAAAAAGGCGCAAAGCTACACAGAGAAACCCTGTCTCGAAAAACCAAAAAAAAAAAAAAAAAAAAAAAAAAAACCAGAAACACCTCCTGTCTGTACAGACCTGTGTGTCATTCGAAAAGACCATTTCATCCTTCTTACTTAAAAGATTCTGATGAGTCCTCTGAATTCACATCATCCCTTGACATATTAGCACATGTCACCTCCTCCTGTATAACCACCCCCACTACCTCCTTCATTACCCACCTGCCCCCGCTCAAAGAACATAGCATCTGTCTGCAGCAACTAGATCCGAGTCCCTCCCTGGGCACAGCTCTCCACAGAGGCCGGACTGCAAAGCACTGGCCAGTGTCCCTTCTAGACAGGGGATTGGTCTCCACATCACATTCTGGAGGAAATTATGTCTCAACAACACAACACTATCCCAGAGTATCTCCTCAGAACGCTGTGGGACTTCTGCCTCTTCAGACACACTGGGAATGTCAGTAATACCAAGTCACCTGAGAGAACTGGTACCAAAAGAGTCAGGGTTCCTTCCCTGTGCCTTCAACATGCTCTATGACTTCTTCCAAGTTACAGCGTGCCAGGACATTGAACCTAGCATGAAAAACCTAATGTGCATAGGGCCACTTAACAGCCAGAACAGCTGTGCTATGCCCAACACACTGGCACCCCCAGTGGGTGGAGTGTGCACTCACCCTCTTCTCCCGGGGCCCGGGGTTATCTCAAGGCATCTCCATCCTTCTCAAAGCCACCAGGCAGAATCCTAACCAGAAACAACAGTCTGAGCTTCTATGGAAAGTTCTTCCTGCCCAGGAAATATGCTCATTACTGCCAATAAACCATTTCAGCGTACTAAGACTTCCTGAAACATGCACACATCAGAGAAGCGGGATGGTGGTGGTGATGGTAACTGTGATATCGGCATCTTAGGGCACAGCTGCCCTGTCTTCCTACTGCTAATACCACCGATAATGGCAGTCCAGATTTGTCAGAAGTCAGAGTGAGCACAGTACAGATGCCCATTTATTCAGCAACCTTATCTACATCTTACAGATGGAGATATCAGAGAAGCCGGAAACTAGCCTAGGATCATGAAAAATCACAAATTCTAGACATCAGGCCTTTGAGCCCTGTGTGCTTGGAGTGCCAGTCTCAAAGACTTCCCCAAGTGTCCGGAAAAACATTTCTTTTCTCTATAAAATTAGATTATGGAGTAGCAGGTTTCCTTATGACATTTCCTACATAGTTTTAATTAGTCCTTCCCCCTCCCCCTCCCCCATCTTCCTGTCCCCAACTATGGTCCCCTTCCACTTTTGTATTACATTTGTCCTATCACCCTCTCTCCTTCAAAGTCTCCTTTGCCCCTTGCTGGTTCCCTAGCCTCTATCCACACTTGCTCCCACATAGATTCATACATCTATATATTTGTGTGTGTGTTACACATATATTATATCATTATATATAATATGCATTTGTGTATTATAATTATATATACATATACATCCTATACATATACACATACACATACATATATGTAATTAGAAGCTAGGACCCACATGTGAGAGAAAACACACAGTGTTTTTCTTTCTGGGCCTGGGCTACCTCACTCAGTGTAATATTTTCCAGTTCCATCCTGCTCTTTTCTGGCTATTCCATCCTCCCCCAAGACCTCTCCCCATCTGCTTCATATCACATGTATCCCATGATCCTCTTTGCCTCCCTCCTCTACCATGTGGCCCATCCTGTCATGACTCCCTTTCCAGTTTCATAACCTTTGCACATGGACACATTTATATAGACACCCATGTGTCATTTTAAATCTAGATCCCACATGAGTGAAAACACAGAGTGTTGGTTTGTCTTGCTTAGGCTGACTTATTTCACTTAACATGTGATCTCCAGTTCCATTCATTTCCCTGCAAATGTCATGATTTCACTTTTCTTCAAGGAGTTCCAAAATTCATGTGTGTGTGTGTGTGTGTGTGTGTGTGTGTGTGAGAGAGAGAGAGAGAGAGAGAGAGAGAGAGAGAGAGAGAGAGAGAGAGAGAGAGTGTACCACCTGTTCTTAAGTCATTCATCTGTTGATAGAGATCTAGGCTGGTCCATTTCTTAGCTACTGTGAACAGAACAGCAATAAACAAAGAAGGACAGGTGTCCTTGTGGTGTGTTGACTCAGATGCCTCAGGTACACACAAAAGGGTGGTATGGCTGGGTCATATGGAAGTCCTATGTTTAGTGTTTTGAGAAACTGCCCTACCAATCTCTATAGTGACTATACAAGTTTACACTCCCACTGGCAGTGTATAATGATTCTAGTGTTTGGGTTTTGTGGTTCTTTCTTCTTGGGGAGGGGTGGTTCTTTGCAAGTCTAGAAATTAATTCCCTGACTAACTTGTAGCTGGCAAAGATTTGTTCCCATTCTGTAGACGGTCTCTTTCACTGGAGACACCTTCCTTGGCTGTGTATGTCTTTTAAACCGTGTGATCCCATTTGTCAGTTTTTAGGATACTTTTCTATGCCGTGGGAGTCCTTTTCAGAAAGTCCTTCCTATGTCTGTACCCTGAAGTGTTTCTCCTATGTGTCCTCTATCAGTTTCTAAGTTTTAGATCTTGCATTCAAGGCCTTGATTTGTTTTGAATTGACTTTTGAGCAGGGTGAGCTACACAGACCTAATTCCATTAACTTGTGTATAGAAAACCGGTTCCCCAGCACCCTTCGCCGAAGCCTGTCTTCTCTCCAATGTGTGCTTTGATGCCTTTGTCAGAAATCGGGTAGCTGTGTGGAGTGAGCTCTAGACTCTCTCTTCTGTGCACTGGCCTGTGCGTCTGAGTTTGTACCACTACCATGCTGCTCTTGTAACCATAACTGTGATACAAGGTGAGATCAGAAATTGTGATGCCTCCGGGATTATTCTTTCTGCCAACAAACATTTGGGATAATCAAGTCTCTATCAGTGTGGTGGTCTGAATAGGAATGGCCCCCAGAGACTCTTGTGTTTGAATGCTTGGCTCATAGGGACTGGCACTATTAGGAGGTGTGGCCTTGTTGGAGGAAGTGTGTCATTTTCCCCCCTTAGATAATCTCTCCTGGAAACACCCTCACACACACATCTGGAGGTACATCTCTTAGTTGACTCCAGCTCTTATGAAGTTGGTGACCACATTTGACCGTCACAGGGGTCTTGTGCACTTCCATGTACATTGTAGGATTGCTTTTCCAGTTCTATGAAGAACATAATTGGTATTTTTTTTTTTTTTTTGGTTTTTTGAGACAGGGTTTCTCTGTGTAGCTTTGCGCCTTTCCTGGAACTCACTTGGTAGCCCAGGCTGGCCTCGAACTCACAGAGATCCGCCTGGCTCTGCCTCCCGAGTGCTGGGATTAAAGGCGTGCGCCACCACCGCCCGGCCATAATTGGTATTTTTGAAGACTGATTGATTGATTGATTGATTTGTATGTGTGGATGCCTGTGTGTGTTTGTGTGCATCGTGTCTGTGCAGTGCCCACAGGGGCCAGAAGAGGGTATTAGATCCTCTGGAACTTTAGTCACAAATAGTTAGGAACCACCATATATATTCTGTGAACCACACTCAGGTCTTCTGCAAGAGCAGCAAGCACTTTTAACCCCTGAACTACCATTGGTGTTTTAATGGTCATTGCACTGGATCTGTACATTGCTTTTACAAATAGTTGTTTCACAATCTCAATTTGCCAATCCACAATTGTGGGAAAGTCTTCCGTCTTCTAGCAGTTTCTTCCTCCAGTGTCTTTCACCTCCTTGGTTAGGTTTATTCCTAAAGTTTCTAAGCTATTGTGAATGGGTTTTCCTCATGATTTCTCTCACAATTAGACCATTATTGGTATGGGGCAAAGCCACTGACTTTTGTCACTTGAATTTGTGGCCTGCAGCTTTGCTGAATGTGTTTATAGTTGTCAGAGGTTTCTAGTGGCCTTCAGGGTCAGTTAGGGTCATGTCAACTACAAATTGGGATAATCTGGCTTTTCCCTTTTATTTATTTTTCTTGTTTTATTTCTCTAAATAAGACTTCAAGAACTATAAGTGTGGATAGTGAGACACTCTTGTCTCATTCTAGAGGAATTTCCTCATTTAGAGGAAAAATATTCCACTCTTCCCCATTTAAACATTGTAGACAAATTTCTAAATGATCTTAATAAATTAAAAAAAAAACACGGAGTCAAATATAGGGTTGAAAGACTTAGAGAAAGATCAGAGGAATGGGACAAACCACGAACTAACCTCACCTCACCAATTCCGCAGCTTCCAAAGAGAGCTTCTTCCTGTATACTCATGTTGATCTGCCTTTTCTGTTCTGTTCTCTCATTGGC